CTTGGGTTGTGCAAGGGGAAGTAAAGGGCTTGGCCAAGACTTTAACTGTGCCTGCTGTCAGTTTTAAGGCTAAGATTCATAGGATTAATAGCAAGTCCTGCAGCAAACTCTGCCTTCTTCTGGAAGCAACAATGTAAGTAGTTATAACTTACGGAAAAAAATGCTTTCTTTCAGGTTGCTGTCTCCAGTGTACCAAATCCCTGCTCTCTTTTTCCAAAAATACTGTCATAACAAGCTTTACTCCAGCTGCTTTCATCAGAAAGTTGCCCAAACCAATGGAGTTGGAAGAGAGGGGAAAACAACTTGCGGGCACTGCAGCTGCACCTCCACATGAAGTATTAAATATGTTAAAAGCAACTAACAAAGAGAAGAAAATGTGGCTCATGATGAAAACACAAGTGCATTTAAAGGAAGGGCAGTAATCCTCCAAAATACCTGATGAGGGTGTGGGCAGAGCAACTCCTTCCAGAGGTAAGTCAGCACCTTACAGCTGGTACTGGTCAATCAGATGAGTGGTACGCTTGTAAACTTTATGTAGAGCCAAGCCTCTTAAACTTCATGCAAAGGTTGTGCAATGCAATCATGTTTCAGTAGAGACTGTTAAAGCCACAGATTGTTGTGACCCAGATTGACAAAACACAAGGAAATCTGAGGTGACATGTTACTAGGAGAGGAACCATCTCTCTCAAACTTTTCCATTTTTTTAAATGCTGAAGGAAAGCTCGATGCAGGATGATAATTTACCAGATGGTCAGTGTCAGAAAGAAGCTTCCTGAATATAAGCAATATTGACACTTTCTTAGGAAAATCTGGCAGTTCTCTCTCCTGAGGAGAGATGTTGAGAATTTCCAATAATACTGACCCAATTTTCTTTGGTAATTCCAGCACTAAGGGAGTCTAGAGATAGCACAGCATTGTATCCCCTTTTCCTTCTGAGGTGTTGCTCTGTTTCTGTGGATACCTCCTGTTCAGTGTGAATTAGAAGAATTTTTAGGTACCACTGAAAATACTGAACAGGATCTTCAGAATATGTGGTAGAGAAAGATTTAGTAGTTCGTTTTCCTAAAACCCAAAATGGTGGATGTAGTTTTTTTAAGTGATACAACCTAGATACAGGAAATAGCTTTTTGCCAAGGCTCCAGGCACATGTGTTGTAGTCAGTCAGTTCCTGGTCTTGACTTCAGTCACTCGTCCCTGGTGGTGCAGTGGCTAAACCACAGCGTTGTCAACGCTGAGATCTGGGTTCGATTCCCGGTTAGGACACTCCCCGGGCAGATGGAGCTCGCTAGCCCTGTAAGGCAATCCATCTACGTTCTGAGGACCTCGCTGCCACCGTCCAAGCGTGCTTGGCCCCGGCAGATGAACCTCAGGATTAAAGGGTGGGCTCAGTTCCGCGCACACTGTGTCTCACCTAAAAAATCCAATGCGCAGGCTGGAAGGTGGAAAGACCTTCCCCGGTTCTTCGTTCGCGAAGAGACTGGCCATTACATCAAGTGTTAGAAATCACCTATAGACAGAGATGTTTTGTGGGAAAGTGTTACTTGTCTTGGAAACCAGTGGAGCTTTGAGATTTATGGTCCAGTGTTATAGATCTGATTTTCTGGATTGTTAAATTGCTGTTACAATTGGCAGATTCTCATACTAATAGAGTTGAAACTACGTCCTCAAGAGTGTTGTTATAATCTAAATCTGCATACGCTTTTCTCTTTATATGATTAATACTGGTATAGATGCTAGGGGTTGATAATGCTAAATGGTAGGAGATAACTGTTTCCTACCCCGAGTGAGTACGATCTGTTTCCTTCTAGGTTAATGCAAATTGTCTTTCTACTTAGTCACTTGGAAAAAGCCATACTGTACTGTTTTTCTGCAGAAGGGTAAGAGGAGAGAATGAGTTTTAGCTAAGCATGTATTTAGTGTTTAGTTATTTATCTTAATTATCACACACTCCAGTTTGTAGTTTTGAGTTACTTGTGTGTCTTGCTAAACCTTACTTGTATTTTTTTCAAGTCCATGACTTTGGGACAAGCACAGACCATGAAGTGCAACCTCAGTTCAGCTGCATATCCAGAAAATTATTTTTCATATTTGTAGAGAATTAGACTCCAGAAGACTTCTTTTCCTCTGGGAGTAGTTTGAGAACACGGGAAGAACTGAAACTGTGATCAGGCCTTAAATCTTAATGAGATCTAATAGATGGTTAAGAGGTTTCAGTCTTCAACTGAAAGACAAGTTTTGAACTTCAGAAATGTAGAACCCTTAACATCATCACTGAAGAGCTGCAAGAAGAAACTACAAAGTGTGTAACTGGCAGAGATTTTCCAGGTGATTGAGGTGGACCAAGCAGGTTTGGAATTAGCCAGTCAAACTGCCTGTGCAAGTAAGCAGGTGACCAGTGAAAGAAAGGAGCAAGACAAAGCTGCTTTCTATCCCTTTAGAAGGCTTCTAGATGTGAGGAGGATACATGCAAGCACTAATCCTGGTAGCAGTTGAATCAAATCTTGGCGAAGTGTGTTTTATTCCTATCACTGGGCTCTCTCATACAAGTTCCAGTGTCTGGTCTTTAAAAGTCCTTGGAACTTGCTGGAGGAAAATTTCAATTGGAGCTGAACACAGCATGTTATATTTTGAGGCTTTGATTATTCTGGGTCTGACAGGCTCATGGAGATTTCATTGCCTCTGGGCAACATCTGCAGCGAAGCCTTGTAACAAAAGGATTGAGTGGCCTCACAGGGCTCCCTGATAGCCTGTGTTGCATTAGAAGGAAGACGTAGTTACTAGTCAGGGTAATTAATTAGCATTTCCATAAGCAGTCACAAGTCCTGTTAACCTTGTGAATGCAGGAGGCAGGAATAAAGCGCAGATGTGAAGGCTCTGAAGATAAACTCTGCATGTGTGTGTTCACTTGATTTTGTTGATGAATTCCACTAAATTCTTTCAAGATCAACCTTAATTTAGCATGGCTAAAGATACAAATGCACCCAACATCTGTTAGTGTCTCCATGGCAGCTCTTTGGCCACCAGTGCTACAGCTAGGTCTTAAAATAAAACAATACAAAAAACACTGCCACACTGAAGGGGTAAGCTGTTGGTCAGAGGTAAGATGTGGAACCGGCTGAGGAAAGGTATGCAAGCCCCTGGACTTTGCCTGCTTCAATTCAAATTTTAGTTACGGTAATGAAAGGCTGCATCTTTCCTGCAGACCAGTTCTCATTTTAGATTTCCTGCCATGTCAAGTTTGCCCTTACCTGGCTGACAGTACTTCTCTTTTCGGGAGTCCCATTTTCTGGTGAAGTTTTATTTCTGTTCACCCCTCACCTGCTCCTCACTTGTTTTTCCTTCTCTATTGGTTTTCTCATTCCTTTATCTTGTCATGTGTGGGATTTGTTTCCCCTTGAAGCATCACTGGTTTTCCTCCTGACATAAGACCAGTCCCCTGCAGAAATATACTGCCCAGCTTAAGTGAGTGTAGCTCCAAGTACCTCTCAAGAAGCTTGTATTTGTGTTCCTCTTGTTAGTTTATGCAAAGTGCCAGATGTGTGCTGTATTCAGAGTAGCACCTCCTAGCTATTGAATTGCAAGGTGTAACAAGCCTCTGCCACAGGAATGATTACAGGAAAGAGTCTCTGACTGGTGTCATGGGCTGAGAGACTGACTTCTTGTTAAATCCCTTTGCTCAGAGGGCGCAGCTACAGCTTCATCACAGAGATAAGAGGCAAATTCTTCTAAAAGCTTCATTCAGAATAATTCTGCTGGTGATTCTGAATAAGAAAGTAGGAAATAAGTTCCAGACGAGGCTCTTCTTTACAGTGAATCTTGAGTTAGAAATATCTAAAAGAGGGGCAGGGAAGGATGTGGAAAGGAAAACTAGACCTCCTTTGCTTGTGTTCCTGAATCATTTGGCCAGGCTGTTCCCATGGCTGAATTTTTTTATCCCACACCACACACACACACTCCCACCCCCACCTCTAAAAGTGAGAGCCCTGGCGAGGTACAAGCCCAGAACTCTTGTGTCTTTCTGTTGCCTCTGGCGCCACAGAAGTAATTGGTAGATGATATTAGGAGTCTTGTAACTTTCAAAGCTGTATATCTTTCCTCTTTTATAAGCTGGCAACAGATGAATTTTAGAACCTTTTAAAAAATTATTGAGAACTTTGGAGCCAGTGGGGCTCCTAGTTGTGCCTTTCAGTGATGATGTAAAATAAATGTCATGTTAGTGCAGAGTGTAGAGCAAAGTGGGAACTGGACCAATAATTCCTCAGGGTTAAGGAAAGCTCTCTTGCTCTGCCCAGGGTTTGGGTTGGGGGATTTTCTGATGGCATGTCTCCCTGCTGCAGCAGTCATCTCTGCTTGTTGGAATAGGCTGTTTCTGGTTTAGTCCTGTGCTCGGCAGAACTAAGTCTGTTTTGTGAGTTTTTTTCCACATCACACTTAGTCTGATCAGTGAGACACATCTCTGCAGCTTTGCCTTCCACAGGGTTCTGTTTGTTTTAATCTCTTGAGCAATTTGGAAACGCAGAGTGTTCCAAGCAGAGGCTTGGAAATGCAGAAATACCACTGCAGGGTGAGCTGTCTCTTTAGTCACTTTTCAAGAATTACATTTTAGGCCTAAACTAACCTATGGTGTGGTCCAACACATCTATGTGTCCATGCTAACTGTGGAACCACTTTCATTCAGAGGTGAATGACTAATCACTCCTTGATATGAACCATTTAAAAATAGATCACAATGAGCTTCAACCTTTGCAGCCCACAGTGGTGCCACAACCAGTCCTGTTACTCTGCCTTTAACAGCAGACCCAGCCTCACTTAACCTGTGCTTTTTTTTGCAGCAGCAGCAGACACTGTGTGCCTATAACAGTAAGGGCCGTGCAAGGCTGATTTGCTCTCTTGAACTCTGGCATCTGTCAGTAGTTAAAAACACCTTGCTCTGTTGGTGAGCTGTGCTTACTACAGCTTAGTCATCTCCTGTGTGGAGGAGATGTACTATGCACACTTACTCATCTCCTATGTAGAGGTTGGGCCAGACTTCATTGACGTGGGTGTACTGTGGGCATCCCTTCCAGAGGAGTCGTTCCAGTTCAAATGCCCCTGGGGTACAGTAGTCCTCTTCAGGGTCTACTTTGATCGCTGTGTATGCATTTTTCTTCGCAGCATTCCAACTTCCTGATGACATTTTGTCCATGGGATAGTGCTCTTGGGATGTGCAAGAAACTGGAATGCAACCAAAGCAGATCATTAACCTGAGGAAGCACAAAGCAAGTGACTCCTGCTCCATCTGTAGGACACTGGGAACAGCACTGCCCAGGTCTGACTGTGAGCTGCACGTTGTATGAGATGAATTAACCTGCTCTGTGGCAAACAAAGACTGGCACCTGACTTCTGCCCCCTTCCCCCCGAAGTAGGCAAGGAATATGTTGTTAGAGGAGCTCACCAGCAATGGGAACAAAAGCCAGAGGTTTGTGATTACTGAAATTCAGTCTCCATTGGGAATTTGTTTCCTGGAAAATCCACTGGTAAGAATTTGGTAGGTCTAACAGCTAGGGTCTAGAGCACCTAGGGGAATTTTTTTAATCATTAATTAAGAATTTTCTAAAGGCTTTTCCTTACGTGATTTCTACCAATGCAGGGAGATGAAATGTATATTTAGGTGAATGTTGGGTATACCTGTCCTACTCTCTTCTACTCTTCTTTTTCCTATATTGCCAGCTGCAAACTTTCCTATCATCTTTATCTCTGTGTGGGCTCTGTGTTGTTTCTTCTGCTGGGACTTCCTGATGTCTCAGGGGAGCAGTTGCTCATGTCTCTTATTCTCTTGAAGAGAGAGGTTGAACCTTGGGGTTCTCTAAGAGACTCATAATAAGATGTGGAGTTGGGCTTGATCTTATGAAGTGAGGAAGTACAGTCTGCCAAAAATCCACCTACTTTGCAGGCAACAAATCCTGTAGTGGCTCCCAAAATTTTTTTGTGTTGGCTCTTTGTGTCCTTTTAATTCCAAAAATCTGACTAATGCCTTCATGCAGCTATTGTAGAGTTCTCCTGAAAGCAGGATGACCATTTTTCACTGACATTCCCTGTACCCATGGGGTTTGTTAGCTCAGTTTGGGTTCTTTTGTGCCTGTCATGTTCTGTTTCTCTGCAAATCTTGAAAAAGCCAAATTATTCCTGTTTTCCTACTCCAAAGCTGTGCAAGATTGTGGAGTCAGTTTTTGTTTGGCAAAGTGTACACCTTTGTTCAAAAATTGGCTTGCTTTCACTGGCAAGAGGATCTGTGTTTTAGACAAGCTTCCTAAAACATGATGATGTTTAGCTAAGTGGTCCTCTGTTGAGATTTGTAAAGAGCTCTGAGAATTCCAGCTTCAAGCAAACTTATCTTGGACTTAGTCTTGCGTGCCTATGGTGTAGCATCAAATCCCATCTCTCTGCCCCAGTAGCCATGCCCCAGGAGAGCCTTTTCCCTTCCTATTCCAGAATTATGCTAATTCTTCATGCAGACTTATTATTATCTGTAGATAATGTTAGACTATCAGAGATACAAATCTAATACAGTCTGACTTTGGGAGTGATTAGACTGTTATCTAGAACTTGATAAGAGGTGCTATTTCTCTACTAAAGAATTATCTTAACTGAGAGCCTGTTGCTTTGATGCTGAAGGACTGACTACTTTTATTCATAGCTCCATAAAATGGGAGGGGAGGAAAGGAAGGGAAGAAGAGAGAGCAATGTAGTAGTCACAGTCGGTTGCCACAGTGTATTGATTTGTTACACCTTGGAACAGGGCGATTACATCTGCAGATGATCGTTTGTGGTACTGTAACACCGGCACAGTTTGAAGCTTGGTTAGCACTCTGAAAGTTAGACCACTGCTGAGAAATACTTGTTTCTGTCTGTCCTGGGAAGCCATATGCTCCCTGAACTTTCAAGTACGCTATGTTCTTTTATGCCTTGCCAATGTTATCTGCTGCGGGGATTTTTAAATTGAGTTAGAGCACAGGAAAGCATCGGTTGAAATTCCCCTAATAAAACATGTATTTCAGATTTGACTCTAGACTAAGTAAGAAGTAACAGAGTTTAAATAGGAGGAGACAAAGTGGGGGAAAAGGGACTGGTTTGCTGCTTGAACTCTGGCATTAGTTGCCATGACACATTTGATTGCGGCAGAAGGACAGAAGGGCTTGTGTTTTTCCAGGAATCAAAGATGTCTGACTTCATATCTTAGTGGTTGTTCTATGTACACCAAACAGAGCTGAGAGACGACTATTCCCTAGGCCAGCCCTCTACGAAAAAAAAGTGAAAAGTAGACTGGATATTTTTGGAGTGGGTGGTCCTAATGCTGTCGTGGGTGTAAGGGATGACTGTTCAGCATGAGCCCAGGCAGAGAAAGCTCAGGTTTCTGTTGCAGACCTCTGGGGTAGAGAGACCATCCCTTGCAGGGTGATCACCCATTGCAGTCAGATGGCAGACAGATTGCAGGGTTACCTCTGCACAGGCTTGTCAGAGCAGGTTCCCACCCCCTATGGTGCTTCATTTGGGCTAAAATCCTTTGCATTATAGATGAGTTAGTGCAGGCTGAATGATGCACCAGTGCAGCTTCCCTGTACCAGTTTGGCAGTCACTTCATGGCACTGCACTGTGTTGGGGACATGCCACCTTAGGTGTGAAAGCTCTCTGGAGCATGGACTGTCCTTGTGCCCTTTGCATAAAGAACTCTGCACCCTGCCTGCTTCTGGAAGTGCTGCTTCAGCACAGGACAGGACAGCCTTTGTATTTGATGGGGGAGGGATGATGAGGAAAATCAGCTAGTGGGAACTGCTATTATCCCAGACAGATTCTCCTCAGCAGGAAGGTTTGCGCCCAGCTTCAGGGTAGTGAGGAACAGAGCCTTGTGTCTGGAGCCAGGAGTTCCCTTCCACTGAGACAGGACAGTCTGCGGCTCATCCCTCTCATTCCCTGTGCCCAAGCCACAGCTGCTCTCCTGCCTCCCTGGGCTACACCAAGGCCAGGCTGTGTGAGCTGCTGAGACCTTCCCGTTCCCACCCTGTGGCCCTGGTCAGCAGCAGAGGGCTGGGTCCATCTCAGTGGGGCCCTGCAGATGCTTCAGCTGTGAGATTTCACCTGCTGAGCCCGACATCCTGCGGGCTCTGCCGCTCAATCCAGAGTGTGCAGGGAACACTGAGCTGCCAGTGCTGTCATGGACTTAAGTGTATTATCAGAACAAGCATGATAAAAATTCAGTCATCTGCATTTTTATACCCTAATTTTTCTCTTCATAAATAAGACCAAAGTGCATGTTATCTAATAAATTTTATTTGTTAATCATTTGGATGGCTGAAATATTTCTCCCCCTTGGGTTATATGTATATAAATGAAAATATTGTTAGTGATTTCACAAAATAGTAATTCAGAATAATGGAGGGTTAATCCTCTTTTCATTAGTGAGCCACTTCAGGACATACACTGTGGCAAATTACACTGCATTTTAAGTCGTTCTCAAGTGCTGTGCACTAGAAAAAAACATTAAACTACTTTTGCATTGATAGAAGTAATTGTGTGGCTAATTTGGATAAGCAGCATGCATTAGGCACAGCAAAGGAATCTCTTCTTTATGTTCACTATCCACTCTACAGCTGCCAGATGGAATTTCTTATACAGCTCTTTAGCTTTTTTTATTTTATTTTTAACAAAACAGGGAGGGAGGAATGAAAGTGCAAGGGGGGGAAAAAAGGAAAATCTGCCAGTCTGTCTGCTGTTTAATTCAGAGCATGAACACAGTCTAGTGTCTGGAGCACTAATATGACAGTGAAAGATTTCCCTTCTGCACCATGTTTGGAGTCTCTTAAACTATTCAAATTAACCCAAAATTTTCAGTAAAGCCCTGTGAAGTCACAGAATGTAGTTCCCACTTTCCAATTTGTTCAACAGGAGAGATATACAACCCCACCAAAAAATTTGTAGGGTGTTACTTAATGCTTTTGGGAATGTCAGTCATGAGTGCTACAGTTTGGTAATCCCACAGATGGGGGAGAAAAACTGAGTTTCATGTCCAGAGGTGAATGTCAGAGCTTTGGTGATGGGGTGTACATTTCTAATGCTAGTTTTCCACATTTAGTGGAAGTTTCTGAGTACTTTGAGACTGAAAGCTATAAGTCATTAGCTACCTAACAAAATACTTTGTTTCTTAATATCTTTGGCTCAGTGTGCTGTGCAAGCCCTAGTGCTGTGCATAAAGATGCCAAACAATTTGGCAAGATTTATGACTGGGAGTTAAGATCCAAGTCAGCTGTAGAGACTTGAAAAAAAGCAGACATGCACAGACAAGGATTGCGTTTGCCCTTGTCTTCTGCAAGGGCCTAAATACCCTCTCCCCGTCTTTCCAGCACCCCTCCCTGACCCAGGGGGTTTCTCTGTCACTGCTGTTGTCCCAGGCATATGTTCTCTGGCCACCAACTTGTGGCTGTATTTGTGTGCCTGAAGCTACAGATCTTCAATGAGGTCAGAGCCCAGTGGCATTGGTAAAAATATGCAATGATAGAGGCTAAACAAGTAAAAAGTTGGAAGAAAAATGGAGACAGAGGGCAGTTTTCTTCACTCTTCCTTTCAGAAGTATTAGCTGTTCTATCTTGCCTGGTCATAGGGTCATACAGCTTCCTTGCCTTAATGCCCACTTCAGTCCACATCTATATAGCAGAATAGTTGAAATTCTTTGCCACCCATGTTTCATGCTATTGGAAGTTCTTCCATCCTGTATGAAATCACTCGCCTGTGCTAGTGGGGCTTTTGATGCTGGCTTTTAATTTTGTGTGTCCAAGCGTACCAGCCTTGCTTTTGTAGTCAGTTATCTAAAAGCTGCTTCTCCTTGAAAATATCAGCAATGACAAGTTTATCTGGGAAGTGAAGGTTTTCAGCATTTAGCAACCACCTAAATAAATAACTTGTTTTTAAATGTGGAGGCAGATTTGAATCTGATTCCTGGTTTGATGCTTTCAGATTTTGCTTCCTACCTCTTTCCTCATGTCAGCTCTGAGAAAGGAGAGGAGCTGTGGTATCTTGGGAAGATTTTTTTTGAGATGCCAAGGAAGGCAAAGAAAATAATGAAATCAGACTATCTGTCAGCTCTGAGCTTTTCTTGAGGAATCTACAGAAGTAATGACATATCCATTAGACCTCACACGTAGATTAGTGCAGTGGGAGATAAATATGGTGCCCTTGAAATAATCAGTGGTTTGACCCTCAAGTTCAGGGCCCGAAAAAGTTCATCTACTGCCATGAACACTGAATTCAATGGTGGGAAAAACAAAAAAGTGGGGAAAAACAACTCTGTAATTTTGATTGAGAAATTATTTTTCTGCATGAAGAGCTTATTACTAAGAATTGTTTTTCATTTTTTTCTAATGTTGCATGGAGAGCTGACTTATTTGAATGTTTTTATTTATCAGATGGAATTCAACACCACTGAAATCAGAGGGCATCTATTTTCCAACGATTCAAAATTGAAACCTTCTTGCCTTCCAGACAACTGCAAAAATAATGTTTTTATTTTTAGTTACTTCGTTCTTTCAGTTTTATAACTACCTTAGATAAGACCTTGATGGAGATACAGTGTCTGTAACAAGTGTGTACAAGATGGAAGTACCTGAGAGAAGATAAGGATGGAGAATATCAATTCTTCTATACTTTCAAAAAAAAAAAATGTGCAAAAGGCTTGAATCTAGTTTGTAATCCCTCTCCAGGTAAGCAAGCATGGTGCTGAAGGCAGACAAAAATCAGATCTAATGACTGAGGGTTTCAGAAATAGTGAAGGAGGATCTACTGAACAAGTTCTTGAATTTTTAAGAAATGTTCTGTTCTTCCATTTCCAGCCCACATGCCAGATACATACCTCCCTTCAGGGTGAAGAAGTGCTTACCCTTTTTGAGTATGACTAAGCAGAGGGCTCTTTTATAAACTGGAAAGTTCTTGCAGAAGCCAATGCACATGCTGTCTGGAGTGCAGTGTTTGCACTTGGGAGGAAGGTAAACAGTGCTTTGGTTTCTAAGCTTTTTGTGACTCAAAGTATATCAGCTGAGCTGCAAGCTGGTCAGCCACAGTAACACAGGCTTGCTTTGTCGGAAGATTTAACTAAATGAATTTAAAATCGCGCTCCCTGATGTGCCATGCCCGTGATCTTTCACTTAAGACTCCAAAGGCTGGCAGCAGCCACGGAGAGAGCTGTGTAACCTTACACTTGCTGCACCCCAGGGTGCTGCAAAGGTTCCTTGGGTGTGTTTTTGGTTTGTTGTTTTTGGTTATTCCCACTCCTCCCCCGCAATATGAAGACAAAAACATTAACTTTTTCCAAATACTTCTTGGGACAGAGGAGAAGTCCTTAAAAAAAAAATTTCTCTGAAAGACCCCTAAAAGAATTAAGCAAACTCCAAAACTGGAATTCCCCAGATACCTGCGGTATACTTAGCCAAAGAATAACACAATCCTGTGTTCCCTCTTCCTTTCCTAGTCTTCACCAAAATTCATTTACTTCAGTTCCTTTATTTTACCCCTGCATTCTTATGCTAAAAGCATTCAAGGGCTGTAAAATAGTTTATCCAATGCATGTCTTTAAACAGCTTAAAACCAGAAGAATCATAGCCTCTGTGCAATTATTTCCCAGACCCTCCTGCTGTGAATATTCAAAACTAACCAGTTATTTCAATGAATTTCTAAGCCACTGATGACTTTAAAAACTTATTTTTGCCCTCATTCTTTATTGTTGACTGGACTGGTTAATTTAAAACAGATTAAGCTGAGATTTCATTAAATATTGTGAGAGTGCCCAAAGAAACTTCAGACACACCATCTGAGAGAACTGCAATTCAATTGGAAAAGTTAGATTTGACTGGAGGGTGGAGTAATTATTGAAGAATAGGCAAAATATTCTGGGACAGATGTTACAAATCTTAAATTGCATTTTTATTCCTAACTTTTAAATTGTAATTATCTCTAAAATAAATACCCTTTTGGCATCTAATTACGTAATTTTTAAAGTGATTCCTGTAACATAATAAATTTGGTTTTCTAAAATTATAAATTATATCTTCAGAACCTTTTCGATTCTGTAATAGTTTTAAATTTTTTTTTCCCTGCAACAAGTTTATGAAATTAATAGTTACCTTGCAAAGCTCTCAGTCCTCTCCCTGATTTACTAAACTAAGTTATAAAAGGAAGAAAAGGAGCACAAGAAGTACAGCAAAAAATGTATATTGCTTGGTCTTACCTGTAAGCTTAGATGGGCGCTGTAGGTAAGCGGGTCCTGTGAAGTGCAGCAGAACGACAAAAGAAACCTTACTAGCTTTGCAACTGGAGTCTATTTTTAGAGGAGGATTTGCTGACTCTGACCTTGAGTGCTACCCCCTCCAAATGACGATCTTTATATCTGCTGGTAAAACTATTCCCTGATGCGACCTGAAACATTAAACCTGGCAATTTATTTACCCAGTCTTGGTATGACTAAGATAGTATGATGCCTACATGTTGACTGTAATAAAACAGAATTCATCTTTTATCTTGTCCCCTTGTCAAGCCCGATGCTATGTTTGCTGCTGCACGTGGGTGAGGAGCACTGCGCTGCTGTTTCCTCTCATGCTGTGCACAAGTGGTTTGGCACTGGCACAACAATGGGCAATAGGGAAGGTGGCATCCTGACAAGGCCCTGATCTCTTGTATGTGCACCACCAGAAAGCCATCTTCCCCTACCTACTGTCTTGGTTTTCTTCAGTGCCAACACTCCCAATATCCATCTTACTTGTGAAATGCCTTCCTCTGCTGAGAAAGCAACGTGTTGCTCAGCCCTGCTCAGTTCTGGTGACAAGAACGTAGGTTGCCAAAAAGAGGCAGAGGTACACTCTCCAACCTTTGAAAATTTCTCTACTTCCCTAAAGAGGTTCCCTGAAAAGCTTCATGCCTTCCTATTGAAGAAAGCCTAAAACTTTCTCTGGTAAGTCACAGCCAGATTCATCAGAGATCAAATCTGGGTTCCTTGATGTCAGAGCCACACCTTTTCCACTCCAGCACTTTGTCCATTGCAAGAGTGGTAACTTTCCTGGCCTACAGGGCTGTTTGCTGGATGGACTGGTGATCACATGCGAGCAGCTGGTACACAATATCCTCTGCCTGGGCATTTGTTCTGCAGCAAACCCTGCCTCAGAGCTGCCAACTCAGACAACGTTAGGAGTAATGAGATTTTGCTGATGTTGGAGCTAGACTTGCAATGACCTAAGAAGATCCAGCTGTCCCATGAGCATTGATATTTCTCAAGGGAAATTCTTCAGATCAATTGCCTTGTGCCTGGGAATGGGGAAAGGAGGCAAAGAGACCAGTCAGGGCAAGCTTGTGATACTGGAAAGTAGCCCATTGGTCTCTGGACCTGCTTTTCTTTTGTTGAGATGACCATCCTGGAAATGATCTCTCTAAACAGATGTGCCTGAACTGCTTGCCTATAATTCTGGCTCAGAGTGCTCTCAATTCTCACCACAGTACCTGCAAAAAGCAGCCAACAATTGATGAAAACCTACTGTGGAACTTTTTCCATTTCTTGCAGGAACAGAAACAGTCTTCTGTGCCTGCAAATACCTGTGCCTGACCAAAGTTTCAGGTTGCCCAAGTGTTTTTTTCCCAAACATCCAAATCACACAGTAGGTGCCATTAATTTTCGGTGGGACACAAATTCCTGACCATGTCAGTTCTTTTTAATGTTGCTCTGAATTCTTTCAATCACCTTTGTCATCCCCTGTCTGTTTAAAACATAAAAGTTTATCCCAGAAGGACCAGGGCCAGACTTGGTCACGGCCTGTGGCTAATACTGCAGTACAGATGTGAAGTAATAACAAAAAGTTTCAGTTCAAGTTCTGGGCATTAGATCTGCTGCTGTTTCATGCAAACAGCATCATTCTAGCCAAGTTTCTGTATTACAGAGCAGCCAAGCTCCTCCCTGCCAATTATTCAGATAGTCATTCTGAAAATGAGAAAGAGCTGAGATGTTAGAAACCTGCTGTGCCTTCTAAGTTACCTTGTAAGGTTGTTGTGCAAATTAATTCTTTACTGATAATAGAGAAACTTTGTGGAGGAGGAGATACAGACCCCATATAATAGAAACTAGCACTGATTGCTTTTTTATCCCTGCAAGTGGCCAAGCATAGGGGAACATGAGTAAGGTGATACAGCAGACTGTCCGTGCTGGTGAGAGGATGCTGCTCTGTGAGGTGTATGGTGGAAGGTTCTTGTGCCCAAAGGGTGAGCGGTGACCTGTTGCTTGTGTCTGACCAAGGTTGTCTTTCTGATATCAGATCAAAGGCATGGCAATGTTTTGTGGTATTGTTTTTTTTTCAGGCAAGCATCTGAAAAAGAAGTATTTTTCTGTCTGACTGGCTGTCAAAACAATATGAGCCCTTGTTCCCCTCTCTCCATAGGGTCCTGAGAACATGAAAGGAAGATCCCTCACCTTCTGGAAAAGTCACAGAATGCATAAGATTGGAAGAAACCACAGTGGGTCATCCGGTCTAACCTCCCTGTGCAAGCAGGGTCACCCTAGAGCACATTGCACAGGATTGCGTCCAATTTTTGGGACCAGTTGTTTGTGTTTCCATTAGTTTTGGTTTTGCTAATGAAAAAATAATAGCTGCTGAGATGTTTTGAGCCTATCACTTGGAGTGCTTGGGAGCCTGGACACATGGAAAACACAGCAGGAAGGCTCTTATTTTGGAAGAGGTGAGTACCTCCCTTCTGGAAAGTTGAATAGTTGCCTTGGAATCCTAATAGCCAATGTTTGCCATGTTATTGGTAATTTCTGAAAATCTTGGCCAGGCTGATGATGGTGCTTTGAACGCACAGGTCACTCCCCCTTCCTGGAGCCTTGCCTGCAGTCAGCCTGCTCATGTTCCATGGGTAGGTCCTTGCTGTTGCTGATTGAATCTCAAGTGCCATCACCTGCTGGCCCTATGTGCCTGTCTGAGTACAGCCACTGCCCAGCCCTAGAACTTGACCCCAGGGCAAAATTCATTCTCCCTTCATTTTTCATGTGTATTTTGAAACTGTCAAAGGGTCATCCAAGAACACTACCAGACACTGTTCAGATACACGATACAATTCCTAGCCTAGAGAGCTGATGCTTATAAATGGAAGAAACAAAGGCTTAGATGGGAAAAAGGATGACACCCAAGCAGAATGAGTAAGACTGACCAGCTTCCTAAGTGGCCCTTTCTGGTACAAGAGTATGGAGCTGTGAAAAGGATGAGAACTAAAGTTTCTTCCAGAGGGAAGGGTTGGGATGGGGGGAAATAAATCCTGAAAAGAAGTTTAAAAAAAAAATCTTAGAAGGAATGAATTTCTTCCACAAAGAAAAGGAAAAGAAATTGTACATTTCTGGCCAGACCACACTAGAGACACAGTTGGAAAAATCTGACACACTAAGACTTGAAATTTTCTTCTTAGTAAAGTAAAAGCTGAGTAAAGTTCTGCTTGAGGAAATTTCCCTCCCCCATTCCAACCTGGTGATCTGGAAGATTTCCTCTTCACTACAAAATATGCGCTTATTTGGAAAAGTTGGGATTTTAACAATTTCATGGGAAGAATAAGTATATAATTATATAAGATTGTTCTAATAGACATTTGCTGTACTGAGATGCTAACAGCATGCAGAAACCATTATGTTTCCAGTTGTTTGGCAAAAGTTAAGAAACCTTATATATATATTTTAAAGTTAACTGTAAAGTAAATCCAGATGGTTCTGTCTCGCACAGACAAGCAGTCTTCAAACTAGACATATAGCTGTAGCCTGGCTATAACTTGTTCTGATTACTGCAGATAGAGAGAAATGCTTTAAATGACTGTACGCCCTCCTCACAAAATGCTGCATGCCCTTGATTCTTGCTGAAGTCAACTGGCACTTACACAACTGGCACTACATAAAACTTGTTGGACAATACCTTGCGTGCATGAGTATCTAGTTGGGTGTTAGTCATTTAATTACTCTTTATACTGAAGAATTGCTTAATGGCCCTCATCAGGGGTTGGGGCTCTGCTGAGGCAGGCATTGCAGACCCCTCGAACAAAAATGACAGTTGCTGCCCTATGTAACCTAATGTTTGTGCTTGAGTTTGTGTGCTTCTCTCCTAATCTCCCAGTTAAGGATTACCAGAAAATATTTGTTGTATGCTTATTTTTGATTGATGTGTTCAGAGTTTTATTTGATTCTTTAATAAGCGTTGTCTGTTGTGTTCATTCCTATGTTTCAGCTGGACATCGGTTGCGCTTGCTGCTATCAACAGGAGAACCAGAATTATGTTGACTTGTGAGACCATTCTGCAAATCAAATCAAAGGGGCAGCTTTGCTTCACAGGGCAAGGATTTCAGTGTCTGAGTGTTTTAAGTTGACATATTAAGGAGCATTTGTGAAAGTCTGAAAATAGGGGGAACTGGAAGGTCCATCAGAAATTATACACTCATGGTACGTTACTTTTTTATGTTTTGCAGTTGTTTTCTTTTTTTAGTCAATAGGCAAGTGTTCTTGTAGATAACAGTCAATGTTGTTTGTCCAAGCAGTCTAACAAGTAGAAATGCTGTTTTATGAGCTTCTTAGGCAGTATTGTCAAGAGGGTAAGTTGGATTTGACCTGATGGGAGTCAAATTTACTGGCCAGTGCATCTCTTGCTGTGTCTGTGACAGGCCTAATAGCCCAGCAGTAGTAGCTGTGTTTATAAGAAAGTATGTGAGAACAGGGATGAAGCAAGCTCTTGAGGGGTTAGGAAGGAAAGACTCCAGTCCTGGACAAGGTTCCCTGGGCCTATAGGGTGAGGCTGAGGTCAGGGCTCTGAAAGGTGTTTTGTTCATTGTTCTGCTTTTTCTCTCACTGTCGGCAGAAAAAATGTTCTGGGAGATTTGTGTTGAAATTGAGTATAGATCCCAAGGCATAGTAATGTGGAAAATAAGGGCTTTCTTGTAACCTACTCTTACCAAAGAATGCTGGGAATAGGAAAAGCCTGGGGCCCCAAACTTGCTCAGTTGGTGCTAAGAGGAAGCCCTGTGAGAAGAGCACCTACCAGAGAAATCCTGCACAGAGAGAGTAACCAGTGAGTACATCATTCTGTGTTCTGCAGGGCACCCTGATGTGCTCCCCAGGTCCGAAAATGGGGTATCTTCCATTGCTTGTAGTGTTCAAACTGCCCTATAAAGAAAATGGCATTGCCAAAATTCAAGGTGGTTTTGCCCCTAACATGACACTGTAACACACATAGGATTGCACCTAATTGTCTTGATGAAGAGAACTGGGAAAGTGCCACAGTCTGTTTCTACTCTTACTATTCATGGGGATAAGAAGTTTTTTTTCTTCTACTTCTCTGTATCATTAATAACATATTGCTGCAGAGGTTCCAGAAATGTGT